TAAACGAACACATAAAAAGAAGTTATAACTTTGGTACACTTTGTAGAAAGTCTTTAAATTACATATGAGACATCTATTTCAGTCGCAAGAGCTTGCTGTGCTGTTTCGGTTTAAGGGTGAAAGAAGGCAGTGAAATTACAAGAGACCTTCCATTAATCACTTGAGGCTCGAAAGGGGTAGGAATTGGCAAAAATCACAAATAACAAGGGAGGAGGGATTGCAATAAGATATTACGTGTTTTTTTTCATAAAACGAGCGATTTGTAAACCGAAAGTCGACGTGTAGTCTGAATTGCTTTTCTAGAATCCAATTAGATTATACCTGTATTGAAATATAATATTCTAATAATAAAACTCACTTTAGGTGTTAAAAATACACGTAATTTGGGGAGGTAACGTAGGGGAAGGGCCATCCCTATTTTTGAGGATATTTTTGTGTCTAACTAAGAATGTTCATATTAAATTTAGCCTGAAAACAAATTAAGATTTTATAATTCTTGACACACTAATGTGTTAAATAAAATCTGTTAAAATAAAATACAGGGGAGTGAGAAAAATATTTCTTTCCGAAGTCGGGTAATGGTTAACCATTGCGGTCTCAAATCACATTAGTTTGCCGTGGCTCCGTTAACCACAAAAAGATAGAACAAAGATAGAGCAGCCCCTAAGTTGACAGCCACTGGCCGCAACAAAGCAGTTCTCACCTTTGTGCGTCGCCAGGGGAGCGTAACCGTTGGTCGCTAGACAACAATATCCTGTTACATTATCAACAATTTATAAACTTACAGCGATTTTAAAATAGTTACTTCAAACATATGAACCTAGTAAAATTTCATAATATATATAAAAATAGAATTATATTAAAAAACACCTATTCTTAAACTGTATCTTTAAGAATATATTGAAATTTCAATATATTCTTTTCACATTAAATTAAAACAGTTTTGTTCATATCGGTCATATACAGTCTTACGATTACATTTTTCAATATACGTAAATTTAGAATCGTCTTTTGAGGCAAAAAGAACACCAAAACAATACAAATATTCTTTTGCAATGACTTTGACAGCCTCGGTGGTCAAGCAGTTTAGTACATAACTTTACATTCGATGGTCGTTGGTTCAATTCCTCGCTCGGTGCTACCATTTATTATTATGTATTCATGAGTATGTTTATTTGTATCAGGTATTTAGGTGTTTTCTATGTATATTATGTATGTATTTTCAAAAAAATCTATATAAATATTTACATCAGTAGTCTAGTAGATACTGATAACACAAGCTCTGCTTACCGTGGCGCTGTGTTAATTGTCCAGTGTTATTTATTTGATAATGTATCTTGATTTTAATTTTAAACGCTACCTGACATGACTTGTACCGCATGTGTTATAGAAACTCATTTTGTCTCAGGTAAATTTGTACGCCGTGTTACCCTCAGAGTAGCCAGAAGATCTTGGTCGCTCTAATTACCTTGTATTTTGATATGACTTGTCATCTACTAGATTTATATTTTAATTAAAAGGGGTAGTAACAAGGGTAATTATGCTGCGAATAGCGTAACAAGGTAAATATAATAATAAATAATAATAATAACCCTACAATATGTACATAACACCATCTAATTCCAAGCTAAGCAGAGCTCGTGTTATGGGTAATAGACAACTGATATAAATAACTAATATACATTTTTTTTATAAATACATACATAATATTTAAATTCAAAACTCATATCTGTTGTAACTGGCTAATCAGATATGTATTTTATATTCTAAATTTGTATTTGAATTTATAGTTCTTTTATATTACATTCTTGTTTTTGATACTTCAATTCCTTCTTTCTATTCTGTTATGTCAGTAGTCTATATTAATATATATTTTTCTCCGTTTACCTAGTCTTTTTTCTTATTACATGAATAAACTACAACAATATCTTTATTCATGTAGGTCTCTTACAGATTCTTATATAAATAAAAAACATCCAGAAACATACAAACAATCATACTGTTGAATAAAAATGTACGCAACTTGTTAGGAATCGAACCAGCGATCGGAAGCAGTGTCTTACAGCACTAATCCACTGGGCCTTAAAAATCCTTTCTATTCGGTTTAATTATAGATACTTAAGCGAAATCGCATGCAGAAATTAGTCATCTATTATAAATCATTATCAATTCTCTATCCAATATTATAAAATGTAAGCAGATTTAGAATCTTTTAAAAGTTGTACAAAGAAGTTTTGTTAACAACACAAAAAATGTTATGATTAATGAATAAACTGTGACTTGTACATATTTCAGCTGGTTTTAAGTTCTAAAAGCTCGATACTCCATTAAACAAGTTAAGTCGTAACTCTATTCTCCCAAATTTGAATTTAAAAATGAATCTGTATTATTGTAAACATGTATAACATTCATTTGAAAAGAATACGAGCTGAGTTCCTTGTCAGTTCTTCTCATCTCGAAATCATTGCGAACTGACGGTAGATTTGACATATCATAAGTCTGTAATATACCTACATGAATAAAGATATTTTGAATTCGACCCACTTTGTGGTACTAAAAGACAAACCGATTTAAATTAAATTTTAGTACAATAACATTTCATTTAAATCGATATTGTACTTATGACGTGAAAGCGCGATAGACAGACAGTCTTACTTTCGCATTTATGATATTAGTAAGATGAAGGATAGTGAATAATGAAAGTTCACGTATATAGGTGATGGTCACCATTTACCATCAGGTATGACGTCGGATTCCTTGCAATTTATTACAAAAAAAAATGCGTATTATCTACATTTTTCGCGCCCATTCATTCGAGTGACATTTCGAATTGAAGGCGTAATTGCTGACTAAATCATTATTCAGCCACATTAATTTATTAATATAATCCGACATTTTTCCATTCGTAATATTTAATTTACGATCCCGGCAATTCCGTTGACTGGCTTTTAATTCCTTGAAAAATGGTTAAACGGTGTTTGAATAATAAAATACTTTAGTTTAATTCCATTGGAATTAATATTCGTGGAGTTTCATTATAGGAATTTCATTTATTTTAGTAATCATCATTATATAGTATAAAACGAAGTCGCTATCGCTGTCTGTTCGTCTCTATGTGTGCTACAATCTTTAAAACTACGCAACGGGTTTTGAAGCGGTTTTTTTAATAGATAGAGGGATTCAAGAGGAAGGTTTATATATATAATACAAGTACATTAGTGCGAAGCCGCGGCGAGTAGCTAGTAAATAATAAGAGAGGAAGAGGAAGACGTTTTGAAACAGTCAACAAGAGTGACAGAAATGGTTTAACTAAACAATATATAAAAAATACTTGTATTTTAAATATAGATAAGCAAATATACAAAATTGACAGTGAATCTTGTTGTAGGTTATATGTATTTTGATACTTCCCATAGGTGTATACCTATATTGTCTTAAAAAACAACCTAAGTGGCGAAGTACAGCTAGCGTTTTATAAAAATGAAGGTTAGTTAGTTTGTTAGAACATGCTTTTATATCCATTATACAGTAAGAAAATGTAACATTCATTCATAATTTCGGAGCCACGCTCTCGTCTCAAAGAAAATGTGTACATTTTAATACATAATAAAATAAGGCGGTCTTACTGTCTTTTAGACAGTTTACGCAGTCCCATATAGTGAGGCTAAGCTAAGCTAAGCAGGAATAGAATAGAATAGAATATCATTTATTCAAATAAACTTAATTTAAGCACTTTTGAATAGTCATAACAATTTGTTTTTTATCTACCACTCGTTCGGAAAGCTGTCTCATCACAAGAAGAACGAGCAAGAAACTTGTGTGTTGCTCTTTTAAATAATCCTTGTAAGTTTACATTTACAAGTCGAAACGTGTGAATACAAACTACCAACAAGCACTAATTTTTTAGGTCAAATATAAATATGCAATAAGATTAAATCAGTCGTAGTGATAAGAGCAGACCAGTCCCTACACGCAGCACTCGTTCACGAGTATGACGGATGAGCCAGCCATCACTGCGCTCGATCATATTTTAGGGAGCCCAATGACCCGGCCCACCACGCCGCCACATGTCTGGACATTTTAGTGAGCATGACTACTCATTCCACTCGACCACGTCACAGCTTCAAAAATTACTATATGGTAGTTACAGTATTCGCACTTTACATGAGGATGCATGCGGCAATCAATACAAAAGCCGCTACGCTATCATATATCAAGAAAGCAGTATGAAAAATAAATTATAACGTTGTCCGCAAATAAACTTATTCTTGCTATATATTGCTATCTCTATAAATTCATCTATCTTGGGCTATATCTATTCAGGGCTTGTGTTAAGGGAAATAGCCAACTAATACTTAGATACATTTTTTTTAGAAATATACTAGCTGTACCGGCAAACGTTGTTTTGCCTTAAAATAAAAAAAAAAAATTAGGGGTGGACTACCCCTAACATTTAGGGGGATGAAAAATAGATGTTGGCCGATTCTCAGACCTACTCAATACGCTCACAATTTCATGAGAATCGGTCAAGCCGTTTCGGAGGAGTATGGGAACGAAAACTGTGACACGAGAATTTTATATATAAGATATATAATATACATAAGAAACACACAGACCAATATGTTGTGGGGTAATGATACGATGTTGGCAGTTGAGACGATTTATATTTCAGATGATAATAGTCTGACAACATGTACTCATGAAAACAAATATAAATAATACTGTGCGAGGAATCGAACTTGCGACCATAGGAAAGTAAGGCAGTGTGCTAAACCGCTACACCAATGTGTAGTAATGACCTTCAAATTGCCTTATTCTTTCTATTGCTAACTTTACTTTTATTATAACACTCAGATCAATACGAATAAACTCAGGAATACAGATGTTTGTACTGTGCAAGGAATAAAACTTGCGACCATAGGAAAGTCAGGTGGGCTAAACCGCTAGATCATTGTTAAATTGCAACTATATATTGCTAACTTTACTCTGTTTGTTCACAGCGCCACCCACGGCTGTGGAGATAACGAATCACCCGCCAAACTCGAAGATAGAAGTGAAGCAGGGTGAAACAGTATCTTTGGAGTGTATGGTGAAGAATGCGAAGCCAGCTGCCAAAATCGTGTGGTACAGGGGTAACGTGGAGTTTAAGGGAGATAAAGGTAAGTAATAATCTGTACTAATACTAGCTGATCCGCGCAATTTTGTCTGCTTTTCATTTCTCCACCTTTTCCAATATTTTTCATTGCAGCTCTGCTCCTATTGGTCGTAGCGTAATGTTATATATCTTAAAGCCTTCCTCGACAAATGGACTATCCAACACAAAAAGAATTTTTCAATTCGAACTAGTAGTTACTGAGATTAGCGCGTTTAAACAAACAAACAAACTCTTCAGCTTTATAAAATAATAATTGATTCACCCGCCTGCGCTAACGGCTTACGCTGGCGGGGCACCAGTGGAGAATGATAGGATAATCATGAGGTCAGGTCAATTAACCCATCATAGTAAATTCTCCAAGAATTTAACACGATGATTTCCAGGGAAACCACGTGGAATTCAACATATCATGGTACATTACTAACAGTGGGGTCATCAGTCCGTAATATATAACAATTCCGTTCTCCCCTATTGGTGTTAACATGTATGTATATCTATTTCCATCACTCCAGAATTCCTTTCAGTCATTCAAATTTTGACTGGAGAAATTCTATAACGTACATAGATCTATTGTAGACCCGTCAGAGACAATACATAATTGAAAGATATTCTTAGGAACAATGGTTTTTATGTCCTCAGGATTGAGTGTAAACTTTAAACTAACCATGAAAAGGTCAAAACCAACATCCATCCATCGATCCCATCCGTACTCACAAACTTTCGCTTTAAAATCTTGTTAAATCTAAATCGAAATATATATAACTCAAAGGTGACTGACGTAGTAATCTATCAACGCACAGCCCAAACCACTGGACGGATCGGGCTAAAATTTGGTATACAGGCAGACGTTATGACGTAGGCTTCCGCTAAGAAAGGATTTTGATTAATTCCACCCCCAAAGGGATAAAATAGGGGATGAAAGTTTATATGAAACTTTGTCAATTTTAAACCGATCGGGCTGAGACTTTGCATGCATAAATCTACTATGACGTAGGCATCCCCTAAGAAAGAATTTTGATAAATTCCACCCCTAAGGGGATAAATTAACGAGCGAAGCCGCGGGCAAAAGCTAGTAAAATTATAAACGCGTAAGTTTATGAGTATGTATGGATGTTTGTTACTCATTCGCGCAAAAACTACTGAATGGATTTTGATGAAACTTTACAGTAATATAGCTTATATATCAGAATAACATATAGACTATACATTTCATGCGGATGAGACCGCGGGCTCAGCTAGTAATACATAAGGTAATGCCATCTATAACTAAGATGATAATTCCTTTCGTAATGTAAATGAAGCTTTTGAATATCTAGTACGCCAGCTCTTTAATACTGGACTATTTTCCGAGGCGCGTACTTCACGGCTCGTTAGTTCGGTTCCCAGTGAAAAATTCAATTTTAATGCCAACTTTTTAATTTAACCTCTCAAACGTATTATTGGATTTGCGAGTAGGTAAGGTCCCATTTTAATGCAATACGAGATTTTGTTTGCGCGTCACTGAATCGTGTACTATTGGAGGATTATTCATTTTATTTGGTATCCGAATATTGGGAAATATTGATTTACTAGATGTACCAGCAATTTATTTATATCCTACATATTATTCTGATATATAAGCTATATTGCTGTAAAGTTTCATCGTTTCATCAAAATCCGTTCAGTAGTTTTTGCGTGAAAGATTAACAAACCTCCATCCATACTCACATACTTTTATAATATTAACTAGCTGTGTCCGCGGCTTCACTCGCGTTTAATTTCAATATAAAATATAGCCTGATGTATAGGCTATATTGCTGTAAAGTGTCATTAAAATCCGTTCAGTAGTTTTTGCGTGAAAGAGTAACAAACATACATCCATATTCACAAACTTTCGCGTTTATAATGTAAATTTATAGATTATCGAGAAGCCTATCACACTAGTTGTACTGAAACAATCGTACTAACATTTTGGACCCCAATGTTTGTGAGTATGTGTTTGTAACTCTTTCACGCAAACACTACTGAAAGGATTTTAATGAAATTTTACAGTGATATAGCTTATACATCGGAGAGATCATCATCATCTGCTTCTTCCTTATCCCATTTATTTGTGGTCGGCGTAATATGTTTTTCGCTTCCATTCATCCCTGTTCGCAGTCATCTCGTTATTTACTCCCTTTCTCACCATATCATCTTTCACACAGTCCATTCATCTCTTTTTCGGCCTTCCTCTGCCGTTATAACCATCCACATTCATATGTAACACCTTCCTTATAATATTATCTTCATTCCTACGCATTACATTTCCTACATACATCAGAGAGAATAGGGTATAAATTAGAATGAAAAGAGCTTATCCCTTCTTAAAACACCAGCAACATATTTGCAATTTTCCTGGTGTTGTGGATGTTCATGGGCGGCGGTAATCACTTACCATCAGGTGAGCCGCAAGCTCGATTATCCTCTATGCTATAAAAAATGTGTATCTATATCCGGTATGTATAAAATTATCACGACTAACAGAGTAGTCTATGAAATAAACAAAGAAAAGTTGATAAGAAAATCGAACTTGTACTAAAGTATGATATGTTACTAGCTACTTGCCCTGGCTTCGCACGCGTGTACATGTATCTAATTATATATAACTCAAAGGTGACTGACTGATATAGTGATCTACCAACGCACAGCTTAATCCACTGGACGGATCGGGCTGAAATTTGGCATGCAGGTAGATGTTATGACGTAGGCATCCGCTAAGAAAGGATTTTGATTAATTCTACCCCCAAGGGGATAAAAGTTTGTATGAAACTTTGTCAAACCGATCGGGCTGAGACTTTGCATGCATAAAGCTACTATGACGTAGGCATCTCCTAAGAAAGGATTTCGATAAATTCCACCTCAAAGGGGATAAATTAACGCGAACGAAGCCGCGGGCAAAAGTTAGTTATACCTTCGTCTAAAATTACTCTATCTATGAAAAGAAACCGCTTCAAAATCCGTTGCGTAGTTTTAAAGATTTAAGCACACATAGGGACGGACAGACAGCGACAGCGGCTTTGTTTTATATACTATGTAATGATTAGATCTACTCCCAAAACTATATCCAATAATTTTCCGCGTGAACAAAGAATCAAATTAAATTTTCAATAAAATAATTTTGCGGCGGAGCGCCCCAATGATGGGGGGTTTCGGAATATCGGAAGCGAGGGGTCGCGTCAGTGTCACTCAACATTATTGGAGTCGGGCGAAACCGTGGAACATGTATATAGATATGCTGGATGAGATTTACTCTCGCACAATATATATATTTTTTTATTTATTTGTACCTCTTTATTGCACCATAAAAAATACAAAACAAAACAAGATACAGAGTATGTAGGTAGAGAGCCGGTCTTATCGCTTAAGCGATTTCTTCCAGACAACCTTTGGGTAGAGGAGAAAAGAAAGTGGTGGATGGCGTAAGCTGGAATGAATAAACATAAATAATAATAGCGATATATCATATATGTATATATATATATATATATATATATATATATAATAATCTTATATATAAAATTCTCGTGTCACAGTTTTCGTTCCCATACTCCTCCGAAACGGCTTGACCGATTCTCAGGAAATTTTGTGAGCGTATTGAGTAGGTCTGAGAATCGGCCAACATCTATTTTTCATACCCCTAAATTTTAGGGGTAGTCCATCAGGGCATTAAAAAATACATATAATCCTAAATTTTCACTCTAATATCACCCTATTTTATTAATAGCGATTTTAATTTATATGCCAAAACAACGATTGCGTTGTTAGCAAGTAATATATAAAGAGATATCTATAAAAATCTAAAATTGACCTAAATTTGAGCTTAGATACTCTCGGATAATGAATGAATGAATGCCACTATGAGTGAATGAAAGTAATAAATAAAATTAAAAAGGACAACGAATACTGGCAACATAATAGAATGGTTAGATCATCATTGCCTTGCCTTTATCCCATTATATGTGGTCGGCGCAGTATGTCATTCTCTTCCACTGCTCTCTATCGGTCGTCATATCTGAACATACTCTTCTTTTATTCATATCATCTTTCACACAATCCATCCATCTTTTCTTAGGGCGTCCCCTCCCTTTACATCAATCCACATTCATATTATACACTGAAGAATGGATAAAGGAATAAATTGGGTAATCCATTTTAAGTCAAATGACTTAAAACTAATTATTATTGGAAAAAAAAATTATATAAGAAATTATTACTGAAGACAATGGCTGTATGGGCTAAGTCCTTTTGCCTTTCCCTATAAAGGGAAAAACCGAACCAAAAAAAAAATTAAAACTAATTTCCTTAAAAAATATCATTATCATCATCAGTACATAGTATAAAAGAAGTCGCTGTCGCTGTCTGTCCCTATGTATGCTTAAATCTTTAAAACTACGCAACGGATTTTGAAGCGCTTTTTTTTTTAAAGATTAAGATTTTTTTTTTTTTCATTCAAGAGTAAGGTTTATATATAATACATGTACACCGGTGCGAGTAGCTAGTAATATAATAAATTAAATTAAAAATAACACAAAATTAAATCGCATCTAGTTAGTCTTAGATCTGTGGCTGACTAGTGATGCAAAAAACGAATATCGACAGCTAATATTATTCCGGCTACCAAATTTCGGAACGCACAAATACGGTTTTTGGCATTTTTCTATTAATTCTCAATTTATATTGCCGTAATATCCACATCTATACATATAATATTTGTAACTTGTAGTCTGTCCATAAAAGATATAATAATATGTATAAGAAAAATGATAAAATTGTAATTTATCGCTGGCTGTTCATAAAATATATATAAGAAAAACTGTTATTGGTAGAATCGTAAAAGAACCTATATTAATATTTTTTTGAAATTTTTCTCTGTTTGTTTGTATTCTCAATAAACACAAATAGATACATAAGTCACCTCAGAGGTGACTTATCTATTTGTGTTTATTGATGTTTTAACTAATATATTACAAACAGTTTACAAAA